AATGCCTTCACCATCTGAGAATGCAGTGCAGTAGGTCTCAGCCTTTTTTCACCAGCTCCTATTCAAGATGGAGTTGCTGTGGTTCACACCCCTTTGATACCAGCACCACCATGGCACTGGAGTCATTAAATGACCAGATGGATGCTAGGATGAAGAGTGAGTAAATGAGGGAAGTACAGAATCTGCACTTACCGTGAAGAGGGCCAGTACATTGTTTCTGTTTCCTTGTTCTTGCTTTATGTACAAATTGGTAATTTCGGTTCATTTGGAACTGTTTAGGAAGAGCAAGGTTGAAAGACATTTAAGACACCATTATTGCTTTAAGAGATGTAGTTGTATATACTGTTGTATATATGTACACAAATAAATCTGTATTGTTTTCCGAGTTGGATTGTCTTTCCTGAAATAAAATTATTTCACACAATGGGCATCTGTTTGTTGAGCTCATAGAGGAATTGCAGCATAGAAGCACTATGGCATCTAGTACGTGGTAGACAAAGATGAATGAGGTATAAATGATACCCCTAAGGGGCCAACAAAGGAATTAATAAATATTTTGTGGGTAATATTATTAGTTCACACTTATTAATATCATTGCTTTTGACAGCAGTTATAAGCACAGTGCCTGGGGGTTTTACATTTGGAATCAGGCAAATATAACAATTTTAGGGTCAGGCACAGTGGCTCACGCCTGTAATCCCAGCACTCTGTGAGGCCAAGGTGGCTGGATGGCATGAGCTCAGGTGTTCGAGACCAGCCTGGGCAGGACAGGGAAACCCCATCTCTGCAAAAAATACAAAAATTTGTCAGATGTGGTAACATGCATCTGTAGTCCCAGCTCCTTGGGAGGCTGAGGTAGGAGGATCACTTGAGCCCAGGGAGGTGGAGGTTGCAGTGAGCCAAGATTGTGCCACTGCAGTCTAGCCTGGGCAACAGAGTGAGACTCCGTCTCAAACAAAACAAAGCAAAAAGGAAAAAGAAACAATTTTAGTATAAATTCTGAGCACTTATATTCAGAATTAGCAAACTTCTGTCTGAGGATGCTTTCTGCAGCCCTTTTTCCAATGTTTAAATACTCAATGTTAAGAAGTAAATTAGAAGTTTGGGGCACTGAAAAGGTGTTATAGACAGAATCAAAAGATAGGCTATATATAAGTACCTTTTGTTTCTCCCTGACAGTGGTAGGAAATGGAAGGGGTTTCTTGGAAGTACTCTGGAGAAGAAATGCTTATGAAATAAAAACTATGTTATATGCCCCCCCTGCCCCGCATCTTACTGGCATTCAAGTAGGAGAACTCAAAGGGACAGTGCTGTCACTGAGTAGTTTTACAATGAGTTGAATCCGAACAATCCATTGCATCGCTTTACTAAAATTTATTTATTTCCTTGTCTTGGCCATTTGTGTGTTTTCAGAATTTTTATTTTCCTATTGTAAACACTCTGATTTATATTCTCATAGTTACATTTTGTACATACTATCATTATAACTTCAGCATATATTTTAGAAGTAGATTTGCTGGGGGAAGGTTGTAGATATTTTGGGGGCTTTTTCTGTATATCGACAAATTGTTGTCTAGCATGTTGTCCGGTGGAGCCTTGTTTTAGAGCAGTCCTGTCTGATAGAAATTTCCGTGATAATTGGAATGTTCTGTTTGTGTGCTTTTCAATATGTTAGCCGTTAGTGACATGTGACTGTCAAGCACTTGAATTGTGTCTAGTGCAAGAAAGAAATTGAATTGTTAATTTTATTTTCTGTAATTAACTTTGGTTTAAACTTAAATAGGCATGTGTGACTAGTGGGTACAGTACTGAACAATGCAGGTCTAGAAAGTTTAAATTATATTTTCATTAGCGATATGTATGTCTATTTCCTGTGTCCTTTTCAACGTGAAATTAAAAAATAAAACAAAATCTTGGCAATTTGATAGGTGAGAAAGCTTTACGTGTGTTATTTTATATTATTATTATTTGTTAGTGAGGTTGAGTACCTGTGTGCATTACATTTTTATTGTTATTTTATTTATTTATTTTTGAGACAAGGTCTTCCTCTGTCACCTAGGCTGGAGTACAGTGGCGCCATCATGGCTCACTGAGCCTTGACCTCCTGGGCTCAAATGACCTGCTCACCCCAGCCTCTCAAATGACTGGGACTGTATGTACATGCCACCATGTCTGGCTCTCAAATGACTGGGACTATATGTGCATGCCACCATGTCTGGCTACTTTTAGTATTTTTTTTTGTAAATATGGATTTTGTCATCTTGCCCAGGCTAGTCTCCAGCTCCTGGGCTCAAACAGTCTCCCTACATTGGCCTCCCGAAGTGCTGAGATTACAGGCGTAAGCCACCGCACCTGACCCTTGGGCATTAATTTTTTAAAAATTGATTAACTGTCTGCTTTTGCCCACTTATGTATTAAGATGTTAATCTTCTTCTTTCTTATAGCTGTTTTTTTGTAACAACATTAGTAACATTTGTCTCATGTTGCGCATATTTTCCCCAGCTGATACGTACTTTTGTTTACATTCAAATTATTCTAGAGAACATAAATACTTTTAATAAATAAGATGAATATTTTTAAAGAAATTTGAGTTATATTACAATAGTTTATGGGGTTTAGGGATGAAGAATGAGAAAAAGAGGCGAAGAAAGAGACTGAGATATATCTTACTCCCAGGGAAAGGATGGAGAACATCTGAGTTGTGGTGGGAGAGGAAGAAGACCACCAGAGAAGGAGAAAAAGGTAGCCCTGAAGGCAGGAAGGAAATAAGAAAGTAAGAAATTGCTGTCTACAGGTAGGGAGGAGGAAGGTAGTATAGTTTTGAATGCTAGCTCTAGGTCTTGGATGATTATCATTCTCCTTTGAAATAATAACTTGATGAACCACAGCGTTCCAATTGCTCTTTCTCCTTAAATCAGAAGAAAACTTCTCTTACTCTTCTTTGTACTGTCTGTAGTAACCAGGGCAGGATAGCACTGTGCTCAGTGAAGCTATGTTGGGGCATTTCTTTGTTATCATACAATGCAATACAAGAAACTAGGAAAGAAATAGCATAGGCTGGGTGTGGTGGCTCACGCCTGTAATCCCAGCACTTTGGGAAACTGAGGTGGGCAGATCACCTGAGGTCAGGAGTTCGTGACCAGCCTGGCCAACATGGTAAAACCCTTATTAGCCGAGCATGGTGGTGCACACCTGTAGGCCCAGCTACTTGGGAGGCTGAGGCAGGAGAATCGCTTGAGCCCAGGAGGCAGAGGCGGAGGTTGCAATGAGGCGGAGGTTGCAGTGAGCCGAGATCACACCACTGCACTCCAGCCTGGGTGACAGAGTGAGGCGCGCTCTCTCTCTCTCTCTCTCTCTCTCTCTCTCTCTCTCTCTCTCTATATATATATATGTATATGTGAAAAAGCATAGTGATTCCACTGAATAATTAAGCAGAATAATTAATATTCAGCCAGGGTCTACTTGTTGAGACTTGAAAGTATTTGCTGGATAATGATGAACAAGTCTTTTATCTTTGTTAAATCTTGGTTTCTTATTCTACAAAATGGGAGTAACACTTCCTACCCTCCCACTTATGGCTGTGAAGAGCAAATGAGGTGTACATGTGTTAAAGTGCTTTGGAAAATTCAGTGCAAGGACAAGGCTTAGGTTAGACAACTTTGTGGTAGTGGTGATGAGGGATTATGGTACAGAGGGGCAGAGGGCATGTGTTTAATGGAGGAATATTGGTAAATACAGTACTGGGAAGAGACCAACCTGACAAACAGCTCTCTAACACTTTCTTACGGATAGCCTGAAATTGCCAAAATTTAACAAGAAATGTTGAATGCCCTGAACTGTGTCTTTTAAACATCTCATTTTTGTTTATATTCATGATCACTAATTTATCTATTCACATATTTTACCAAACTTATCTTCATATATATTTTTTTCTTCCAGATGAACGGGACAAAGTTCAGAAGAAAACATTTACAAAATGGATAAATCAGCATCTCATGAAGGTCAGTTTTTATTTCTTTCACTTCTTGAAATTGTTCTGAATACTGCAGTTTATTTTGTAGTAATTGATTGTATAGCTCTGAAGCACAGCTTTTCCATATCAGCTTGCAAGCTTAAATTCTAGAGCATAAAAGGCATCTATAATTATTTGGTGTGTGGATTGTGGGTAATGATGGAGGTGAAAATATATCTATGCAGTGATTACAGTGCATTTTGTGACATTAGTAAAACCCGTTATTATTGAAATCTGTAAAATCTCAGCAGTTTCAGAAATCTGTAAATATTTATATGGTTAGTGCATGGGAAAGCTACGTTTCTTAGTAAGATTTTTTTTCTCTCTTAAGATTCAAACCAGGTTCTGGCATCAGATTTATGTGGATGGCAGAAGGTTAGATGAGAATAAAGATATTGTAGGGACAGAAGTCTAGACTAACTTTACTTCTTATACTTAATTTAATCCAATGATTGGTGCCTTTGTCTAACTTTGTCTATGAAGCAGTTAGTGGTTGTGGTTCTTAAATTAATATTTGTGTACCGTGGGTAATTTTGAGAATGTAAACTATCCAGAAAATAGAGACACACAAAATTTGCATATAATTTCATGGAGCTATTGGACCCCATTGAAACCCTTCTGTAAATCTTGGGTAAGGAACCGTTAGGATTTCACAGTTAACTATTGGTCATTTCCCCTCTTTCCCGCCTTTTATGGAGAGCTCTAAAGTTGAATAGGTCATATTTCTATTTGAAGTTTTCTCACACAGAAAGATTATTTTATTATTATTACTTTTTTCTTTTTTTTTAATTATTTTTACTTGATAGTAGTTCTCAAGGAATATTATTACTTTAAAAAATTTTTTTTTTTTTTTTATAGAAACGGGGTTTCACCATGTTGGTCAGGCTGGTCTCAAACTCCTGACCTCAGGTGATGCACCTGCCTCAGCCTCCCAAAGATGCTAGGGTTACAGGTGTGAGCCACTGCACCCGGCCCAAGACATTTTAAACGTGGTTATATTCTTAAGCTAGCCAACAAATTTTATTTAAACAATTATGTAGCTTAAGAGTGATACCAATATTGTCAATAGTGTCTAATCATCTTCTGTAGAAGTGATTTTTATTTCAGGGGCCTATCAGAATTACCTTAGAGGTGTGTCAGTCCTGTCTCTCTCACCACTTGACAGAACCTTTTTCTCAAATTCTGGTAATATCCCTCAAGGAGAGCAGATCACCCACTCCCTGTTTGAGAATCACAAGCGAAGAAAGGTTGAGATTCTCTGCTTTGTGAGGAAATATAGTGTGAATTCTGGTGCAGCATGTGGCATTTCATCTGTCTGCTCCCAAGCTTTTCTTTAATCCTGCACATACTGCCTGGGAGAGGGTCTCTTCCCCGCAGGCTAGGACAGAGGTGGATTGGGGTCAAGTTTGAGATGTGGACCTTTGGAGCTGAAGACTCCAATGGGATTTTCCTGTCTCTGAGGTGGCTTTAAGGGAAACAAGCTCTTTGAAGAGGTGCCCCTTTGCTGCTACTGGCCTAAGCAGTCCTTGTAGCTGTGGAGATCTAGGGGTGGGCCTGTGAAGGGAAGCAAAGAGGATTGCCTCATATCTTCTGTAGCTACTGAAGTTCCAGGTTGGTAATCAAGTCACAGATGCTGGCAGTGGGCACCAAAGAAAAGTAGAAACACAAATGAAAATGACTCATGGGAACCATAGCTCTGGCAATCAACATATTTTTTGGGGGCCTACTGTGTGCCAAGCATGCTGCACTTGGCCTTTCATTTTATGAATGGTTCATAAATTAGATGATGGAGTATAACGAGACTGCCTTTGCTACATGCGTCAGAATACTAGTTGAGCTGTTTGAGGACAGAGGCTGTATTACTTATTCCGAGGGCCCATCATAATGCCTGGCAAGGATATTCTTGCTATGTCTGATATACATTGCATACATTAAATTGTTGAATCCTTCCCACAACCCTTCAAGGAGGCTTAATTTAGTGATTAAACATACATAGTCTTTAAAGTCAGACAGCTGGGGGGTGGGAAGCTGGGGAGAGATAGCAAGGGGAGAAATGCCAGATGTAGGTGATGGGGAAGAAGGCAGCAAATCACACTGCCACGTGTGTTCCTATGCAACAATTTTGCATGTTCTTCACATGTACCCCAAAACCTAAAATGCAATAAAATAAATAAATGGGAAAAAAAAAAAGTCAGACAGCAAGTGATCAAATCTTGATTTTCCTGGAATATGTACCCTTTTTTCTGATGAAATGACAGCTCTCCAAGATAATAAGACTTAATTCTGCTACAACATGCTAAGAATTGGGAAAATAAGTATTTTAGTCACAGTAGCCAATAGATAGATATAAGCCAGTCTAACTGCTTAGGGTTATAATCAAGTTAGTTTATTTCCTGAAGTCTATTATGGGTCAGAATTTAAAATTAGCTCTCATTAGATGAGGAGCCACTTGAGCGGGAAAGCGGGACAATGTGGTCTTGGCTAACTCACATTGCCAATTAGCTGCTTCGGTTCTGATTCTGTTTTGTTTTAGCGTCAGCTCAAGGTGAGATTTTCGTTTAATCCTGAGTTGTGCACTGAAATTTCTAATAGAGAGCTCAGGTGGGTCAGAACATAGCTTCTTATCTTTCTTTTTTTTATGTCTAGAAGTTATAGCATTAACCTCAAGTGAGGAAAAATGATGAAATATCCCAAAACTTTTTGGGGTACCAGGCTGCTAAGGTTCATGTTGTTATTTGTTAATCAGAAAAAATTCAGTTTTCATGTGAGCTTTTCTATTTTGGACCTAAAATTGATGAAAGGAACGTTGCATTAGGCAGTCAGCTTCATTTTGTCTCACTAAGAGGATTGTTAAACATTTTTGTTTTGGTTGGCCATTTGGTTGTAATGCAATTAGTGGGAAATGTAAATTTATGAATTTTGGATGAAACATCTTAATATTAGGAAAATATTTCTTCTATATTGGTTTTCTTATATTCTTTAGTTGGAAGTTGAATATATTCAGGGTGAAACAGGGAAAGGTGAGCAGGAGGTCCTATATCTTTCTTGCTATACCACATGCCTTTCCACATAATGATAAATATGTTATTTGAAGAGCTTTTAATAAAATGAGATCATGTTATGTAAATGTTAAGGGAAAGGATGACCGTGAAAAAATAAGTTGATAAAATAAAGGACTTATTGATGAATAAGGAGAGAAGAAATGGGAATAGGATCATTCAGATTCAATCTGAATAGTTCTATGTGTATTTTTTATTTTGTCTTTTAACGGTAGATGTGAGTAATCTTTAAATCATAGGGCAGAGAAGGGAGAGAAAGGGAGATTTGGGGATTGCGCACTGGATGGCCCTTAAGGAGCCCAGGGTCTGGAGACCCTTTGTTCTTAACCTTGGCATTGCATACTATAATAAGTTGCCCGGAGTGCTGACTCAGGCTAGCGATGTGTTCTCTATCTTTTAAATAATTCTTAAAAGTTTTGCCTTTTCTAAACTTTTATTTTATTTGTTAATTTAAATTTAATATTATTCACTTATTTCCCTTTGTGTTTTTTTCACCTCTGTTGTGACTCCAAGAACTATTCTTGTTTGTTCTGCTCCTTTGGACAGTGAGGTGCTTGAGAGCTTAGTCCCCAGATAGGCCTTTCTTTACTGGATTTTTTTTTTCACATTATAAAATGTATATTGTGTTAATTTTGAACAAATTATCTTTGGAAGGATAGCATCTTTTTCAGGGTTATCAGTCTGTGACATGTACACCAAACAGAGGCGCAGAAGAAGCCTCACCTTCGAGGTCAGGTAAATAGTGGTGTGTCCAGGTTTTGCTATTTGCTATTCATTTTTTGTGTGAACTTAACCTTCTTATGCCCCCATCTGTAAAATGGTGGTAGTGCCAGGTTGGCATGAGGATTTAAACGAGAGAGTCTATCTAAGCATAAAGCATGGGATTTGGCATATCGTTAGGCGCTCTTTAAATGATAGCTTATGGTGTGGAAGGGTGGATTGACTTGGATGGTGTCATACAAAATTGTGAAGTGAGTGTAAGTTACTTTTGGTGTCTGTCTACTTCCCTTATCTGTATCTCCTTTTATTACATCAAGTACCTTTCCTTTTAGTTTATTTGTTTTAGAAAAAGATACAGTTTGGGGTTCAGAATCTTTTTGAGGAGATAGATAGATGTGTTGCCTCTCAACCTTAGAGTCCTGCCAGGTCACTGAAGAATGGTTTACCTGCGGTAATCCTGTTAACTGTGCCCTCCTTTCCCCCTGCCTACCCCTCCGCAGATTGTTAAAGGTTGATTTGGGTACCTTGAGTCCTTTTTAAATTTCCTTTTCTTTTTCTCCCACACATTCTTCTCACAGAGAGGGAGCATGAACACTCATCATAATTCTGAAAGGTTGGCAGCTTTTGGACCTCAGAGTTAATTTTACTTTGAGTCACACTTAGAGGGCATCTTCCAAATCTTCTGGTTCATTTCCCTCATTTAAAAGTAGTGGAAACTACTTTTATATACTGTCCTTAAACTGATTGTTCTGTTAAGAATGTTTTCATTTTGATTCATCCTTCTTCAGAGTACTTTTAGGAATAAAGTGCAGTTGACACTCAGATTATTTACCTTGCAAATCATGGTTTCTAGGTAAATTATTGGTGTTAGGAGCATTTATGTTTTATTCTTCAGTGTAATTTAAACTGCAGAACTAGATAAGAGCTGGTTGTTATTGGAGATACCTGTGTCTTCACTTAGCTAAATTTTACCTGGAGAATTGTTCCAAAATGTAAAGTTGGCCGGGCGCGGTGGCTCAAGCCTGTAATCCCAGCACTTTGGGAGGCCGAGGCGGGTGGATCACGAGGTCAAGAGATCGAGACCATCCTGGTCAACATGGTGAAACCCCGTCTCTACTAAAACTACAAAAAATTAGCTGGGCATGGTGGTGCGTGCCTGTAATCCCAGCTACTCAGGAGGCTGAGGCAGGAGAATTGCCTGAACCCAGGAGGCGGAGGTTGCGGTGAGCCGAGATCGCGCCATTGCACTCCAGCCTGGGTAACATGAGTGAAACTCCGTCTCAAAAAAAAAAAAAATGTAAAGTTGATGACACCCTTCTGTCATTTACAGCATTTATTTCCACCTCTTCTACCTATGACACTAGGCCCTCCCTCTTTATATTAGAGGGTTTTATATAACTACTTGTTGTTACTCATCATGTGCAGTTTGCTGTCTAGAAATTCATAGGACAACAATATGAGAAATGGTACCTAAGATTTAAGTACTGATTTAGCTTTTGCTTGTCTCAGGGAATGGGGTGTGGGACAGAGAAAGAAGGAAGTACTTTATTTTCTGAAGCACATTAACAGTTATCATTAGAAGATTCCCTTCAATCACTTACTTGGGCCCGGAATTAGAGCGTGAGCCATGACTGAGAGACTGTGTTTAGGAGGAGTAATTTAAGGGGATGAATGATTTTTAGGAGATGATTGAAGTCAGGAGAAGTCCATATAATGTGGTTTCCTTACAGAGGATTCATCTAATTGGCAATTTATGGTGGAAATATATGCTTCAATATTGATCAGCTATTTATTCCTTAATATTTGTAATAGGATATTTAGTCTATATATTTTTTCTTTTTTAAATTTTATTTTTTTGACACGTAAATGCATTTGGAGAGGAAGAGGCCCTGAATGCCACTGTCGAACACCCTACTTGGTGACTGCGTGGGAGACACCAAGCTATCACTGATTTTATCACCATTCCATCATGACTTTGGAAAGCTTAATTTGCTCATGACATAGATATCCTTTGCCCACATGGTAAAGTCAGTGACTTCATGACTCCACCAAATCAATCACACTATTCTTTATTTTCTGATTTGGTGGCGAGAAGAAAATGTAAATCCTCAAGTTAATAACACAGTGATATCTTTTAGACAGTAGGGAAAAAGAAAAAACCAACTCTATTTTCTCTCTGTTTTGGACCAGAGAAAAACTTTGATTTTGCAAAGTTATTTTGTAATTTAACATCTGTGGGCTCAGATGAAATAGGGGAATTTTTTTTTTTTTTTTTTTTTTTTTTTTGAGTTTGAGTTTGACATTTTTTGCCGGGGGTGGGGTGTAGTGACTGGTGTGATCTCGGCTCACTGCAACCTCCGCCTACTGGGTTCAAGCAATTCTCCTGCCTCAGCCTCCCAAGTAGCTGAGATAACTGGCGCCTGCCACCACACCCGGCTAATTTTGTATTTTTAGTAGAGATGGGGTTTCTCCATGTCATTCAGGCTGGTCTTGAACTCCCAACCTTAGGTGATCCACCTGCCTCAGCCTCCCAAAGTGCTGGGATTACAGTCATGAGCCACGGTGCCAGCTGAAATAGGGGAATTTTTGAAGCATCCACTTTATAAAGGACTGATGAAAAATACTGCTTATTAGCATACAGTGTGGTGGGTTCTTAAAGCCTACAAATAAGGTATTTTTTTTTTTCCAGACCTTAGGTTTATGTTAGTAGTTCCTAAACTTTAGCCTTATCAAACTCACGTGGAGGGTTTGTTAAGATTTCTGGGCCCCATCCCAAGAGCTTCTGATTTACTAGGTCTGGGGTAAGGCCTAAAAACTGGCATTTCTAACAAGTTCCAGGAATTTGTATCTCTAACAAAGAACTGATGCTGCTGAGTAGGGGCCGTATTTTGAGAATCCTGTCATAGATAAATGATATAAACATGTAAATAACCATCTATTACCAATAAGTATTCTAATATAGTACAGAGACTAATAGTAGCTGTCTTTCATTTATCCCCTGCTGTATGCTCTGTTCTTTACAATACAGCTAATGTTGTTTGAGAGCTAACCAGGATCTGTCACTTTCATGACTGTTGTTTAATTTTCACAACAGTCCTATGGACAGGTCCTGATTATTGTTATCCCTGTGTGGCTGATGATAAAACTGATACATACTTTCCATAATTTCCCAAGGGCATACAGCTAGTAATTCCTGAGGCTGCTATGGAAAATAAGGCTAAGAGAGATTACTTAACTTCCCAGAGGCTAGACAGAAGCCTAAGAAGAAAGTGAAAATTACACCTCAGTCTCCTTGACTCCAGATTTTTTGTTCTTTCTGTTATACTAAATTCTTGAGAATAGTTTTTAGTTGAGCAATTAAAGGTAAAAAAGACAGAAGCTGAACTTGACATTTGGACATTGGCCTGATTCCTTTACAAATAGGACTTCACATTTAAGTTATGTCTGTTATACTATAAGGATAACAGTGTATGTCGTTAAGGAAAGGTTGAATGGTTTTTGGAGACATGTCTGATTAAAGTCCCAAAGTATAAATTTAGGGGCAAATCTTGCAAATCAGGTTTTTTTTTTTTTGTTTTTTTTTTTTTTGAGATGGAGTTTCGCTCTTGTTACCCAGGCTGGAGTGCAATGGCGCGATCTCGGCTCACCGCAACCTCCGTCTCCCGGGTTCAGGCAATTCTCCTGTCTCAGCCTCCTGAGTAGCTGGGATTACAGGCACGCGCCACCATGCCCAGCTAATTGTTTGTATTTTTAGTAGAGACGGGGTTTCACCATGTTGACCAGGATGGTCTCGATCTCTTGACCTTGTGATCCACCCGCCTCAGCCTCCCAAAGTGCTGGCATTACAGGCTTGAGCCACCGCGCCCGGCCGCAAATCAGGTTTTTATAAATGTGAAAAAGTAGTGGACAGCTTCAAGATTGTAAGGGATACATGGAAGAGCATGAAAGATTTTTTTTAAAGATAAATAGCAGATTGGGATGAAGAATTTATGAATTTTTTGTTGTCATGAAGACTAATGATTTAATGGTGCTAGATTCCTTAATTAAAAAAAAGTTGAGAATAACACTGTGCTTACTTTCGACAGGGCTGTATGCTGAACTTCAGGTATAACCAGGGCTGTATTTGAAATACAATTTTTAAGAAGTTTTCTGTTTTCATGCAGCGTGCCATTTATTGGAGATATTAAGTAAACACTTGTGAGATATTAAACAGTCATGTACAGCAGCGTATGATAAAGTGCCAGAATGAGTGGGCAAACAGTAAGGGTTTTAAGAGATCAGACCCTGGAGACTTGGGGTGACTCTGAGTAGTTTGGAACTGTGTCAGGGCAGGGAGGTTGACTTAAGCTAGGTGCAGAGGAGGGTTGGGGTCACAGGGAGGCAGGTGTGCTAGACTGCTGAGGCTTGCTAGAAGGCTGTCAGGTTGGACAGAAAAAGGTAAAGACAGAAAAGAAACAGATATGATCGGTTAGCCAAGGATGCTGTTGGAAGTTTTTGAGGACAAGAGTGAAGAATCCTACATTTCATACACAGACATTAGGGATCTAAACTATATTGTGAATTCTATGACATGTTTGACTGTCTTTTTTTATCGACATGGGAGCTCAGTAAGTCCTCGCTGGATGAGAAATCTGTAGGGAGGTGACTACTAGCTTAGCCCAGGGAATGAACTGTTCTTCCCTCTGCTTTGTAGCAGACACTTGAATGAAGTCAGGGAAGGCACACTTAATCATATCTACAGACAGGAAGAATATCCTTTGTAATAGATCAATTAACTTCATCCTCAAAGTAATTATAAAAGTCAGGCCTCTGGTCTCACCAAAAGGACAACATTTAACTATGAAAAATGTGAAGTTCTCCTCAAAGGTTTAAATAACCACCTGTAGGATGCAGAAGGGCTGTCATAGCAGTAATCCATGTGATAAGACTAGGGGTTGGTTGACTTCAGATTTACAACAGTGGTGCTGCTGAATGCTGTCTCAGGCTGTGTTAATAGAACTGAGGGTTCATAGCTTTTTTGTTATATGTAATTATGATGCCATTTTATATTAAGGACTTGATTATCTGTGGATTTTGATATCCTTGGGGCATCCTGGAACCAATTCCCCACAGATACTGAGGGACAATGGTAGTACTAGTTTCCTGTGACTTCTGTGACACATTTACACAAACTTGTAATCTTTTTCAAATAGGTAACATTCATAGTTTCCATGAATTAGGACTTGGTATGTTTGGAGCCGCCATTCAGCCTACCATATGTATGAATAGTTACAACTACCTGACATGAAACCCAGCAGTAGCTTCATGGGACAGGGCACTCCCTAGTCATCGTGGAGTTGCCACCAAAATCATGTGGACCTTGAGTTATAATCTATCAGAAATGAAAAAGAAATGATTGGTGTATTGGTAGGAAGGTGAACTAGGTGGTATCTAATATAATCTTCCAAGAGTAAGATTGTGTCATCAAATGACAATTTTGGATGACAAGATATTTGAAAGAACACTATTTTACTTATTTTAAGCTATTTGTTTGGAAATATTTGAAACTTTAAAAAGTTGCAAAAATAAAGTAGTATAAGGAACGCTGATACACTCTTTACCCAGATTGAGCTCTTGTTAATGTTTTACTGTGTTTGTTTTATTATTCTTTCTTCCCAGCTGTGTGTGTGTGTGTATGTGTGTGCTTTTTTATCTGAACAATTTGAGGGTAAGTTATATATACCATGGTCCTTTACTTCTAAATACTTCAATATGTATTTCCTAAGAATAAGGTTATTCTCTTTTGGACCACACAGTTAGCAACTTCATAAATTTATATTGGCACAATATTTTAATGTCTATATTTCAGTTTTGTTAGTTGATCTTTTACATCATCCTCTCTTCCTCCAGGGCAAGGACCAGTTCAGGGTCAGGTATTACATTTAGGTGTAATGTCTCTTTAACTTGCTTTATTTATTTAATTAATTTAGTATTTTTTTTGAGACAGTCTTGCTCTGTCACCCATCCTGGAGTGCAGTGGCATGATCTCGGCTCCCTGCAATCTTTCCCTCCCGGATTCAGGTGATTCTTGTGCCTCAGCCTCCTGAGCAGCTGGGATTACAGGGGTGAGCCACCACGCCCAGCTAATTTTTTACATTTTTTTAATAGAGATGAGGTTTCAATATGTTGGTCAGGCTGGTCTTCAACTCTGTTCTTTTTTTTCTTTTTTTTTTTTTTTTTTTGAGATGGAGTTTCGCTCTTGTTACCCAGGCTGGAGTGCAATGGCGCGATCTCGGCTCACCGCAACCTCCGCCTCCCAGGTTCAGGCAATTCTCCTGCCCCAGCCTCCTGAGTCGCTGGGATTACAGGCATGCGCCACCATGCCCAGCTAATTTTTCGTATTTTTAGTAGAGACGGGGTTTCACCATGTTGACCAGGATGGTCTTGATCTCTTGACCTCGTGATCTACCCGCCTCGGCCTCCCACAGTGCTGGGATTACAGGCTTGAGCCACCGCGCCCGGCCGCAACTCTGTTCTTAAATGATCCGCCTGCCTTGGTCTCCCTAAGTGTTGAGATTACAGATGTGAGCCACCACGCCTGGCCAACTTGCTTTAATTGGGAACAGTTTTATAGCCTATTGGCAGACTTTTATGAAATAGACATTTTTGAAGAATACAGAACACGAATTTATTTATTTAGAATGGAAAATGGATTAATGGAAAAATATCCTTTGAACTTAAAGTTATTTCATGACAAGAAGACACACTTGTCTTTTTTTCTTAGGAGGGTCATTTAAGTCATTACAGGTGATTTTAGTGTTTGTTGATAAAATTGTGAACTGTCTTTTCAAATTAAGAATACCAAAATTTTATTCAGTAATTCCTTCCAATAACTTTAGTTTTATCTTGTGGTCAGTTTATAGTTTTTCTTTTTCTTATTCCTTATTTATAATTACTACTACCACCACTATCAGTACCATTTATTGAGTGCTTATTACGTGCTTGACCCTGCACTAGATACATTACATATATTATCTGATTTAATCCTTACTTCCAGTGAGAAAACTGAGGCTCAGGCAGGATAAATTATCTGCCCAACATGAAGTAGCTAAAATGTTGGCAGAGCTGACATTTAGTCCTTTGTCCTTCCTGGCTCCACAGAAGAAGTATAGCATGCCATTGCATTATGCCACAGTAGGAAGACACAGAATCTTAAATCATCAAGAAGTAATGGAGACAGAGAAGTAGAAAGAAAGCAATATGCCAGGGCACATGGCCTCTTTGCTTTGCTGTAATTTCTTTCAGCATTCCCTCATATACTCTTTC